CCAAGAAAATATTATTTGGGGGAGAGTTGTGCAACGATATGAAGCGGTGGAAAGAAGAATCAAGAACGTAAATATATTTTCGGTTCTAGGGGAATCGTGCATCGTTGTATCATCAACGACACCCTGACCCTCTTCTGATTTCGTTCCGGCTTAACCAATTCATCAAAAAGCAATGCCAAAAAATAAACCACCACGACAGCTCATGTCAACATTTTCTCGTCCTCATAGCATCGTAACAAACCAAAAAAACAACAAAACAAGTTCCCCGTTCAAAACCGACTGTCCCCATCTCATACCTTGATCGCATCACATCATTCATCAAACCATTCTTTCCCCTCCTTTATTCCAATCCACGGAACCGGCGATTGAACTCCTCCACGGCAATCGCCACCTGGCGATAGATAAAGGTCCTGCCACTTTCCATTCCGATTGGAATGAAGGGGCCATTGGTTCCTCCTCTCAGAGTTAGGCTCAAGCCCGTCCTCTCCTTTGCAATAGTCTGTACATCCTTCAGCGGCACGTCCCACTCCGTCTGCAACTTCCTGCTTCTAATGAGCAAGATCCGTGCAAACGTGACCATGACAACCATGTCCTCCGTTGGCAGCTCAAGATGGGCAATGTACTGCTCATCGAAGTACTTGCCGTTGTCAATTTGCTTGAGCCAGCTCTGGCCAAGCGCCTCGCGCTGGCTGTAAGGCCTGACAATACCGTCCGCGGGGATGTATCTTGGTAGTCTGACGCGGTCGAGTTCGGATCCGTCAAAGACGGTGGTGGTGTTGCGCACGCCTTCGCTGACGTTGGAAGCAAAGTCTAGGACACCAATGGCTGGCTTGGTAGCGAGACCAACCACGCCTTTGCCGATACCCTTGAAGAAGCCGAGAGCACCTTCCTGCTCCGCGCCCTCGAGCGGTTTGCGGGCAAGGCCTCCAACACCCGAAGCAACAGAGGTAAACAGACTGTTGGCGCCTGAGGTGACGCCGAAAAGGGCATGCTTGGGATGGTTGCGAGCACGTGTAATGCGGCGACGGTCCTGGAATTGCTTATCCATCGTGGCAGCCGCGAGGCCCTTGGCGAAACTACCAGTGACCTTGGAGAAGGAGTCACTGAAGCCGAAAACAGACTTCTTGACGAAGGAACCGGCGCCGCGGGCTAGACCGATGCCGAAATCTTCAGGCCTGTCGGACATGATGAGACCCTGGTATGGCTCGTAAAAGATATCGGCGAATCCAGAGCTGATGTTGTTGAACAGACCGACTGGGTTGCCCAGGAAATCGGCACTTCCCAGAATGTTGTGTACCTGGTAGAGAGCCTCTTGACTGTAGTGATTCGAGATATTCTGGATCAGAACCGGAACAGAGACGCGCATGTTCTCGAGCATGAGGGCGTTGAAGCGGACGGGGGCATCGTTGATGTTGCCAATGGCCATGGTCATGACGTTGAAGAAGAACATGACTGGGTTCTTTGAGGATGTCTTGTCTTCCACGTTCACACGCTCCGTCCTCACAAACGACAAGTCGAGCTGCATCGGTTGGATGTTCAACACTTCGAAGTAGATGTCACGGCCAGCCGCCAGTTGCTTCGGCTGCGGCACGTCAATGTTGTCATCGCAAAGCTTGTCCTCTTCATCGGATGAAGACCACGATGCACCCGGTACCTTGGAGAAATCGAGCACGGCATAGATGAAGTCTTCGTCAAGCTCGACAGTCATCTCTTGCAAGAGAACTGTTGCATACTTGATGTACTCAACACCATACGAGTCGTCCTTGACGCGAGTTACCATGGCATGCAACGATGGGTGGGCCTCGATCTCCTGCGCGCGCTTCGGCACGACACTGGGATATAAGATCATGGGGAAGATGCCTCCGTACAGCTGGTTGTCGATTTGGATCCATTTGACTGCCAGACTGATAGTCTGGTACAAATGTGAATCGCTGTACCGAAGTTGCACATCTCTGAAGGTGATGTAGGCCAGTTCCTTCAGTTGGGAGTTGATCAACGAAATGCCAATGCCCGAAAGCCTTAACTGCGCGCGGAAGGTGACACCTGTATCCAACTCCTTCGCTTCAAACATACCACGGTCTGTCGAGCCAGCATTAGACTTCTGCTTGTACAAACTCTTTGACTGCTTGAAGTTGGACAGGATCAGGGTCTGCGTCGGTCCATCGGCAGTGACATTGATGTCGATGACCTTGGTCTGGCCATTAGCGCCAACGAACTTCATCGGAATCAGGTTACCAATTTCTGCCAGCTTCACATGTCGGTCCTTGCCATTGGCACTGATGCAAACCTCCTTGTTCTTGGCAGCCGGGAAGTCCCACGCGTAGGGCATGATGCTTCGGGGCGGAAGGCGGTAACGCACGGGACGCCAGCCGGAGCGGTCTTCGATGCCGTCCTCGTCGATATTCGGGTTGGCCTGGTAGAAAGTGAACTCAGTGTCACTCTCGTTTCGCATCGAGAAGGGCCAGTTCTTCTTCTCCATGGTCAAGTTCAAGAAAATGGTCGACTCCTCCATGAGTGTCTCAACCCTAATGAGTCTCTGCCGTTGACCGGCTCGAGCAATCTTGATATGCGTGGTGCCTAGATCTGAGATGTTGAAGGGAGCGGTCCACTGGTTATCGACGCCCGGATAGCAGAGACAGAGCTGTTTGACAGCACCTCTTTGAAGGAAGTGCAGCGGGCGAAGAGCGCCGGTCTGAAGCTCAAGTAGTGACGACGAACTTGGCTCTCGGATATTGATGTCTTCGCCGAGCCTGTTCTGAATGACATATCTTGGTGCAAGAGTGACTGTCTTCACCATCTTGTACTTGCCATGGCCTGAGTCGACTGTGACACCCAGATGGATCTCGGTATTGCGGGAGGGCGAGTTGAGCACCACCTCGGTGGTACTACCGATAGCGTCGAAACTTTGCGGCCTACTCCAATCGGAATCGGCAATCTTGAGCAAAGCGCGGTTCCTGTGGTCGTCGCTACCAAAGGAGAACATGAGCGGCTGGGCTTTGCGAGGGCTTTCATCGACATCAACCAGAAGCTGGCCAGCCGCCGCCTTGGCATGCTGCATGAAGCCCTTGGACCGAATGCCTACATCAAGCCCCGTCTTGTTGAGGATTATGTAGGGGCAGTAGACAGTGACCTTGAAGGCGCCACCGCTGTTGGGAATGCGGAAGTAATGCAACTTCAGATGGAGCGCCAGGCCCGAATCATCCTTGCATACAAGGTTTGTCTCCTTGCGGAAGTCTTCAGAGGTGCCAGAGTTTATGATCGCGAACTCGCTTGGCTTGAAGACGGTCTCCTGCATATCGATACTAAGGAGGAGCAGATGGGACAGCTCGACGACGTGCACGGGGCTAACCCCGCCCTTGCGAAGGAAGTTGGACCAGTCCTTCTTGGTGTTCTTGTCATAGATCCTATACTTGAAGTCATAGGGCAGTAGGTTTTCGATGGTGACGGGGGCGGAGAGTTTCAAGCGCATATACGGATAGTTTCTGGCGTTTGTTAGTACCGACAGCAGCCACAGATATGTAAAAACAAAGAATAGTTTACCTTGTTGTTGGGTTGGCTTTGTCATACCGAGCTGACAGCTGGAAGTAAAAGGGGTCGCCATGTTCACCCTTGCACATCAACGTCTTGGTCGGACGCTTCAACAGGTCTCTCCACCAGAGTGTATCAGTGCTCCAGCCATAGCCAAAACCGGGATCAGGGCGGATGAGCAAGCTCTTCATGTAGACAGCGCCGACGGGGGCAGGCCTGCTCTCGCCAGGGGCATCTTTTCGATCTTGAGCAGGTGTCCTTCCTGGGCGTCATACACTCCAAGTTCAATTGGTATGTCTGTGTCGTTCTCAACCAACAGCGGACTGCGCAGAGTGACATACTTGACGTTGTCTGTGCCAAGTTTTACATCGACCATGAGCTTGTGCAATACCTCATCGGTCTTGGGCTTGAGGGCATAAAGGAATTCTCCCTCGCGATTGATTCGGATGTTCTTGACTGCATCGAAGCCACTACCCTCCAACTGGATGGCCACATTGCTAGTGCTGTTGCTTTCGCCAGAAAGGCTCTCTCGCACCTTTTCCCAATTCTCAAAGCTCCATGGAGTCTCCTGGCCATCATCAAGACGAAGGGGTGCGGTTTCTTCGGTGCTCTCTCTCTTGGCTTGCATGATGATGTTGAAGCCGGTGTAGTTGCGGATACGGTATGGCGCTTCAACGCCACGAGGCTTGCCTAGCACGTCCTCATCTTTGGTGAGGAAAGCCATTGATTTGGAGAGCAGTGCAATGCTAGCAGTTGAAAGAGTCACATCGAAAGTCTTCTTGGATGAGACGTCGACTGACATCAAGCCGGTACTTTGATCACGGGCAACCCCAAAGCCCACTTGCCAGGGTTCAATGAGCGGCTCCCAGGCCGACTTGGCGAAATTGTAAATGTTGGTGTACATCTCGATTGCTGCCTCCGCCTTAAGGTTCGAAGACCAATTCTCTGCGCTAGTCGAGAAGGACTTGATGCTCAAGTCAAGAATAGGAAGTTCATGCACATCTCCAATGAGGACAACCCGAATTCCTTCAATTGCTGCCGTGAGTTGTTCATATCTTGGCGGTGTCTTGGTGATATCATGCGGTTGTTGGCCTCCTTTCTGGGACCGCGGATCGGTTGCCACAGTTTTGGTGCCCGTGCGCTTAGACTTGTTCGCGACAGTAGATGTTCCCTTGCCACTGGCGGTTCGTTGCTTCATGCCGGAAGATTTGAGCTGCTTCGCTTTCTGATCCGACGCAGTACCCTTCGGCTCAGTGGATTCGTTGCCTGACAGCTCCGATGCCTTGCTCACAATTTGCATGACAAGCAAAATATCCCGAAGCGACACTCTGAGGATAAGCGGCTCAATATCCACATGAATGTTGGTGGTGAAGGGCTTTGACGTATCCATGGACATTTGAACTGAGAAGTCGTCGATGATCCTCAGGCGTGAATCATCGAAACGATCCATGCGGCACAGGAACATTCCACACTCGGAAATCTGGAATGTCAATGCATGCTGTTGTGACAGAAGAACTTGCTTGGTACCCAAGACAATGGCCTCGGAACTGGAGCTGAGCGGATTGGCAATCAGGATAACCTGAGCGTCGACCACGTTAACCCGATAGGCAATGCGCATCTTAGACTCTTCCTTCGGCGGCTCCGTCGGGGGGTCAGGGGGCTCACGGCGCTGATCGATGCTATCAGACCGTCTGCCGGTGTATGAAACTGCCATGGACTCTGCATCGCTCATATCATCAGGTGTGTCGAGCGGGCTTTTCTCTGGGACCTCAGGCTCCGGTACTTTCAGGCCCACAGTGACGAATTGCCCGATAGCGAAAAGGTAATCAAGTGCAAAGATGACGCGAGGGCTATCAATGGCGACCATGGCAATGATGTTCCTCTCCTTTCCTCCAGACATGGTGACGCTGGCCATCAACTGCTGAACGTCCTTGTTGCCGCTTGTCATGATGCGACGGAACTTGTTCGTCTCACGTTGGCGTGTATCGTAGATTGTGAAAGACTGAATGACAAACTCGGCCTCGAGACTTCCGTTGGAGTCCATACGAGTCTTCAGTCTGCTGGAATCGAGACTGAATTTGGACAGACTCGCGGTATCGAGATCACCGACGGGCTGGTCTTCCGGAGCATTGATCAACTCCAAACCAATAGTGTTGACGGTGAAAATGAGATCCAACTTCGTCCAGGTCTCAGCTTGCGGGCCAAGCTCCGGGCCCAGGTCAATGAGCTGTTCGTTGCCGCCGTTATCGTCAAAGCCCGACATGGTCCTGGCCTTACTAAGGGTCCTGTCATCGACTTCGCGTTCGGCATCGAGCCTGTTCTGTTCGGAGTCACCGGAAAAGGCAGCAGGGACAGAACGCGAAATCTCAAGCAGTGAGTTTAGTTGGTACTGGGTCAACCGCAAATTGAAATCTGACATGTTGCCCTCGATCTCCAAATCGGGCCGCTTGATACCCTCCTTGTGTTCAGCATAGGTGATCTGGAAGCCAAGGTCAACCTTGTCGATGAGTTCGAGTTCTTCCTCCTGGCCATCAGTGTAATGGAAGTTGGAAGTGAGTCTGATGTTGCGAATTCCTGCAGTTAACTTCATGGCGATATCGGCATTCTCCGAGTCGTCGAGTGGTACAAACTTGTTCTGTGCGTAGATCTCACCAAGATAAGCCGTGATGAGATCACGCTTGGGCCGGTCGGGGCGGACATCTCTGGGGAACACGACAATGGGAGTTTTGACGACAACATCGAACTTGACCTTGCTCGGGCTTTGCTGGAACTGGTTGGCTTGATTAGCAGCAGCTTGACGAGCGGCGTTGTAGATAGCCTGCATCTTGCCGAACTTGACAAGGAATTCGACAATCTTGCGAAAAGGCTCCTCCAAGAAGTTGATCTTGACAGACCCAGCCCGCAGGAAAATCGAGGAGTCATATCCAGGATACGATTCGGGGCGACCAGCGTCGAACGTCTCGTAACGGAAATCGGCAAGCTCTTCTCCCTGGATGGCTACCAACTGGCGTATGCTTGAATCCTCGGAGACACCAAGATTGACATCGTCAACAAGGTTCAAATCGCCCAGTCTTGCAGCAACACGCATGGTCTTTCCGAGAATAAACACACCAACGTCGGCATGGTTGAACGACAGAGTAGCTAGACGGATGCCATCATTATTCAGAATCAACCTGATACTCTTAAGATCAACCTTGACCCGAATTGCACCGTCGGTAGTCTGTTGCGGTGAGGCTGGAGGCTCAACCTCGATGCTGGTCTCCGAGCCATCATCAGTAATCGCGTTTTGAGGAGGAGGATTCGGATTGGCAGTGTTGGTGAAAGTGACGAGAACGAAGTCAAGAAGTGTGAGCAGCGTCTTGCGTGTTACGACAAGATTGATGGTGGAAATTGCCACATCCAGGTTTGTCTCAACGCCATCATACACAGGCATGAACTCGGGCGAATCCTTCCTGACTTTGACGAATTTGACGCGGACCAAGTCCTGTATCTCTCCACTTTCTTCAACATCGCCAGACGATACGATAGCCTTGAACTCGGCTGGCGGGTTATCAACGAAGTCATCCACGGTGACCGATCCGAGAGAAACCTCAGCAGACATGTCGAAGGGGCGAATGTAGAACTGGAGGTCAAAGCGCTGAGCCACCAAATCGACAAGCAGCTGGTCAGGTGCCTTTCCATCTGGATCACTACGGTAGAGCGATCCCTTCAACTCATCTACTGCGAACTTGAACTCGAAATTGCGTTGTTGAAGCTTTAGCTGATCAGTTGCTGAACCATCCTTGGCGTCTTCAAAAGCATCTTCGTCCTCGTCGAGGTCATCGTCATCCAGAATGATGGCTTGCTGATGACTGGTACTGAAGGGTAGCAGTTGGGTCGACGGTCTATGCTCCAACAACCTATGTGATGCCGTTGAAGCGTTGCTCGCCAAACGGGGACGCGGACCAGGCTGACCTGTTGGTTGCGACGGGGCGTCAGCTCCAGCGAGTTTCGGTATCGCAACGTCAATGATACGCATCAAACTCTTGTACTTGGCATCAGATACACTGGCATGCAAGACGGGCAAGTGACCAGACACTTTGAGCTTTGTCAAGTTCGGCGCCTTGGGAAGGATTGATGTCTCCACCACAAAATCCACGGTGATCTTGTCGACAATATGCAGCATCTTGTCATCCTTGTCGACCAATTGCTTCTTGGTCTCCTCAATGGACGGTCCGATCAAAACCTGCGTGGAGGAAAGTTTGACGAGGAAGCGGTCATACATGAGCGACTCGAGCGTCTTCAAGTCCTCGTCTGTGAATGTCTGTTTTTGTTTCGATTGCACCTCCTTCATCGTATCCTTGTCCACCAGTTCACTGTTGACGCTAATGTGACCTGCATCCAGGATGAGGCAGGTGGACATCTTGCTGGTGATGCTCTCGGGGATAATAATGAGAGGAGCCTGAAGATCGAGCTTTGCGTTCAGCGTCTTGTGCTCCTCGAGAGCAAACTCAAGGCCAGCTCTGGTCTGCGCGCGCAAACCCTCGACCGTGGCGCCAGCAGTCTCCATGAGCGCGTTGATGGAATCCATGTGTCTCTCGGGAGGACGGAAAAAGTCAACAACGCCAACGACAACATTGGGGTTCCAGACAATCTCGAGCGGCTTCAGCTTAGCTGTAACTGCAATATCTCCCTGGCCATCCAGAGGATTTTGTTCAACCTGGAACTGGAAGAAAGCTTCGTCGCTGTTCTGTTCAAGCTCGGCAATGGACATGCGATGCGCTATCTGGTTATCAGGAGCATCCTTGACGCGGACAATTTCCTTGAACAGACTATTGGGTGTGGTGCCATCATTGACACGCAGACCACCCAGGCTAACGTCAGCAAGGAAAGAGTCAGGGCGTTTGAGGCCCTTGGCTTTGAAGACATCGAAATGAAGACTGATGAGATCTCTTGAATCACCATGTGGGTTCTGCTTGAGAGTAAAACTGCCAGTGCTGAGAGATGCTTCGAGCTGCATCTGAACAGTGTCTCTTGGCACATCGACCTCAGCGGCAAGAGCCGTCTTTTCGTCCCAGTCGATGACTTCGTACAGCTCCTTGCGCTGTTCTTCTGTGATTTGGGTATTCTCGTCCTCCTGCTGCTTTTCCTGTTGTTGCTGTTGCTTAGGCTTGGAGCCAAGGGCCCAAGCAATCCAGCCCTGCTGTTGAGGTTGAGCCGGTGGGGGAGGGCGGTTCCTGAGGGCTTCTGCGTTTTCTCTCTTGAGCTGATTGCGTGCCAAGGATCTCCAGAACCGCAGGTCTTCATAGTCGAGTTTCCACTCGAGTTTCGTCAAATCATCGTTCTCCTCAGGAGACAGTTGCTGGCCTTGCTTGCGTTTCTTGAAGAGCTCAATGTATCGTTTGCGGTCGTCTCGTCGCTCGCGGAAATAGTCCCAGGACCACCTCCGGTTTCGGTCGTGGATCTTGCTCAGGACAGCATTACCGGCAAACTGGAGCCAAGCACGGGGATCTTCTTTCGGCCGAACGCCCTTTGGTTGGTATTTTTTGTATTCTTGGTGTCGAATGAAGTAGTGGAATAAGTCGACCATCATGAGAGCATCTCGGTACTGATAATCGTCCAGCACGACACCGATTTCGTCAAAGAGGAGGTTTGCCTTGAATTTTGGAACGGTGGAGTCGCCTGTTTTATCGAGCTCGAGCTTGGCCTGGCCGGAGACGGGTTTCAGTATGAACTGATGGTTCTCGGGGAGGTCGCCATCTGTCTTGGCGATCATAGACCTGAAGCCGGCGAGGATTTCGTCATGGGGTTTTGGTTGATAACCCGGCGTAACAGCTTCGCGTCCCGGACCCAGAAGTGTTGCGTCCGTATCCCAGTAGACAGCCAAGGCGCCCAAGGTAGCTAGCTTGTGGGTGGTCTTGGTGGAGTCCTGGATGAAGGTAGGCTGCCACTCTCCATCGGTGCTGACGGCGCTGAACTCCTCGAGAGTGAGACCGAGGGCGAAGGGGTGGCCCGGGGCCGAGATGGCATCCTCGTAGCGGACGTGAATGTTCTTGACGGTCACCTGCAGGTTGTCGACAATCTTGGTGACGAGGCTCGAGGCAAAGCTCTGGCTGCGCTTTTGTTCTTCGGGGCTGAGACCTTCCTGATTCCTCTCCTTGAGCAGTTCGGCAGAGTCCAGCTTTTCCATCTTGATGCGCTGCTTGCGGCGTTCCTCTTCCTCCTCGTTATACTCAGCCTCCTCCTTGGGCGAAGCAAGCAGGTAGACATCCTGGATGTAGACCTTGACGGGGGGCGCCGCGCAAATTGGACCAGGGAATTGTCAGAGTAAGCTCGCCGAGGTGACCTTCGACAACGTTGATGGGCAGCTTGAGCTGATCGAGGGCTTCGCGGCGTAATTCGAGGTTGCGCAGCTTGACGTCGCCGGACCAGATGCCAACCTTGAGCTGTGTAGGATCGAAGTTCTTGACGTACATGCCCAGGAAGCGGTTAAGCAACCCGGCAACGAGACCTTCAAGCATGGCGCGTGTGGGGTACCGTTACCCGGGCCGGGGATATCGATCGAAAATGGGATCGGAGGTGTCTATCGGGGACAGTGTCGAGGCTTCATCTGGGGCCGTCGGCCGTCTCGTTCGTTCGTTCGCAACTTGGATGTGTTGTATCTAATGTCGTCGGGAACGGTTGGCGCAAATCATGCCAGAAGGGTGCTTTACACGGACGTCATGCAGCAGCAGGTCGCGTTGTGTGTCCGTGTCGGTACTTGAGTGTGCGTATTGTATTGATATAGGTACTGATGGTGGTGTCTGTAGGTAGTGACGGACTGTTGTTATTTTTGGTGTTTTGTGTATCGAGCTGAGGGAGGCTGGCAGCAAAGGGAACCCACGTCTTGCAACTTCTCGGTCGTGCAAAGCGGGGTTGGGTTTCTTGGGTCTGGTCGTTTGGTGGAGCAAGTTGTCAGCTCTAGAACATTGCTGACTTTGACTGCCTCCAATTCAAGGATTGTAGCCGACCATCAGATGAAAATGATGAAGATGCGTATAAACCGGAACTCACATATGTCGAGAACGTAGGGGGTACAATGGACCTGACGCACTCTGTTGATGTCAAGGTAAAGAAGGGGAATAGGTATGGTACTGCTGGAGAAAGAATACCGAGAAAATGCTACTACTGCTAGTGCTGATGACGATGATCAACCGGCCAGAACAAAACCTGACTCCGGCGCCAACTTGGAAAAGCGCACTCAACTCAATGAACTGGATGGGAGCACACGCGGTAAGGTTGAAAGAGTTCGTCAGCAGAAAAGAAAGAACCCGACTTGAAGCACCTCCCGCACTTGCGTTCTGCAAACTGTTGGATTGATGTTGGGCGCCAGCACTGCAGACGTGCTTTCCCTTCTTGCCCGTGCCGTGAGGTGCGTTCATTCCACGGCTTCAGGCCCGCTTGGAAGCTGTGGGGAACACTTGGTGCCTACCAGTTGTTCATTTTGATTGGACATTCGGCCAGATAAGCGGGTCTGTCAGTAACAGTCTCGAGCGGGGTCCCAGCTTTTTGGCCAAAATGGAACTGAATTGAAGTGGAAGTCACGTTCCTCACTCACTGCAATCGAGATTCATGTCACTTCCATCAAGTTGTTTTCCATCGACACCAGTATCTGTACTCCGGGGTTTTATTCTCTTCGAGTTAGAGTACTGTTCGAGATGAGAGCATACCAAGTCGCGAACCGCTCGCGGTGTTGGCCGCGTGGGGGACGGGACGGGAAGGACTCACTGTTTGGACGGCAACACGGCAAGTGGTCCAAGCTCCTCCCCATGTTTTTTGTTGGAGGCTTTATCTCGGGCAATTACGTCATTGCTCCTGTCTCCAAACACCAAACCGAAGGATAGACAGTTGCACTTCCTGCCATCGTCCCTGCCCATCCTTCTTGCCAGCTCCTTCATCGGCAACACAATGCCCTGTACACAGCATTAAGATTCAAGAATGAAGGCGCAATCCCCAGCCAAGACCGGGCATTTCCCGGTGTTTGATGCCGACTGACAAGAGCACCAAGATCCAGTCTGACACAATGGATGGGACCGAATCATTGTAACCGGTTTGTTTTCCTTGTGGCGTTCAGCTGATTATGACCCCTTCCCTCTTCAATCCCTTCGTTCTTTTTATTTTCTGTAGATAATTTCAATCCTACGGTTCCTTCCATCTCATCTCCTCCGTTCAGTGTCTCTACACCTTTCTTTCGGCCCAGCTTCGACGTCTATTATCGAATAATTTGATTTCAATAATACAAATTGGTGCGTCCTACCACACAGCTTTTGAAGGTCTTGATCACTGTTTTTTACCCCTCGACTCGGTGGTCTGAACACTTTTCTGGAAACCCCCAAAACACCAAGCATACGAAGCCATGATGCTCCGAACATCGCGCGCTCTCATGGGCACTGCGCAAAGGCTGCCCCTCTTGATGCGCTCTACCCATACCAAGTCCTTCAACACCCCTGTTGCGACATTCGTATCCCGCAAAGCGGAACTACAAAAGTCTACCGGCTCCCCGTTGGTTTTGCGATCAGCCTTCTCATCCAAGCCACCGCTTCAGCCCAACCAAATCGATACGCAGTTTGAAAAGGAATTGGCCCAGCAAAAGCTCAAGGCAGACCCTGAGCACGTCTCCGAAGACTCCTCCGTCCGTCCTTTCTTTGAGCAGGACCAAGCTCCACCTTCAGGAGTCCAGGCAAAGGATACCAGCAAAAGTCTCAAAGATGACTTGGTAAGTCCACAGGACAGATATCTTAACAGCTCGACCAGTCTGACTTTTTCTTCCTCTAGGGTCTTGTCAAGGACACTCTGGCGCTCAAGACTGTACCTCGAGAGGCATACGCCCTCGGTTTTGCCGGCACTATTCCTTACCTAGCTACTTCTCTCTCGACCGTCTACCTCTCCTGGAACCTCAACCAGCGGTACCCTTCCGAGTCCGACCTCCTCAATACCATTCTGTTCAGGCATGAGACGGTCCGAGACCTGCTAGACATCATTGAACCCATCCAAGTGGGCTATGGTGCGGTTCTCATCTCCTTCCTTGGTGCCATTCATTGGGGTATGGAATTTGCCGAGAAGACTCCTTCGCCTGCCCGCACCCGCTTCCGCTACGGCCTGGGTCTGTTGGCACCTATCGTTGCTTGGCCCAGCGCATTGATGCCTATCCAGTGGGCGTTGACCTCGCAATTCCTGGCCTTTACCGGTCTCTACTATGCCGATTCCCGCGCGACCGTCAAGGGTTGGGCGCCCGCCTGGTATGCCACCTACCGTTTCGTCCTGACCGGTATCGTTGGTATCGCTCTCTTTATCAGCATCCTTGGTCGTCTCAAGATCGGCGAAACCCACGCTCGCCTTAGTACCGAAGAGTTGACCGATCTCGTGAGCTACAAGACTGGAGCTGACAAGCCTTACCACGATTGGGAAAAGGAGGAGGCCGAGGAGAGGAAGAGAATCAAGAAGGAGAAGCAGGAGGCGGAGAGGAAGAAGAAGGAAGAGGAGGCCAAGAAGAATCAGGAGGAAAAGGTCAACAAGCACAAGGCCAAGGGCAGCTCCGACATTAAGGAAAAGTCGGAAAACAACAATGACGTGGACAGCAAGAAGGATGGTGACAAGAACGTCAACCCTGACAGCAAGAAGTCCCCGGATGACAAGAGCGAGGATGACAAGAGCGAGGACGACAAGAGCGAGGACGACAAGAGCAAAGATGACAAGAGCGAGGAGAAGTGAGGTGGCTGTAATTTTTAACTCGGTGCATTTAGCGGTGTTATAGTTGGATAGAGTGTGAGTGAAAGACTTTGGCAAGGACCTAGGTACTTGTTTCTGATCTTGATAACGGCGACAATGTATCTTCGCATGTCGCCGCATGTTTCTCTCTTCAGTCTTGATGTTCCCAGAACGCCTGGTGTTTTCACAATTTTAATCATTGAGGTTCTACAAGTCTTCGACCTGTTGACAACATCGCTGATTCCAAGCTGACACGAAGGCACTTTTCAATACCTTCCGGTGCCGTTGTGTCGCCATGTAGTCTTTGTCCGACTTTTCCATCGCTAGTATATATATGTCATCCAATATAAGAATTCCTTCATTCCGAATAATGATTTGCGTCCGGTGTTAAGTCTAGCTACTCTTGCCCATCAATCAAATGTAGCTGGGTTAGAGTTGAGGTAGCTTCCTCTTCATCCGCTCCTTCTTCTTTGTATGGCATTGCTTGTTACTTTCATCAGGTCTTCCAGTGTACTTTACCCTCAATCTTACATGATGTGACAGCTGACAGCTGACGGTATTGATATTGCTTCTCGCCGGTGAACTTCGGTTGTTGGCTTTTCCCACCACTACCAAATGATGTTTTCCTGGGACTGTTCATGAAGCGGTACCTCTACGGCGCAACTGGTTCAAGATTCCCCCCCCCTTTGTTTTCTGCAGTTCACCAGTAGGGTGTCTTCCTAGCGCCTTGATGCATTTTTGAATATCATTATCATTATTGTTGGGATTATACAACCCGCTGACCAGGTATCTACGTAATGCGGCCTTACAAGCATGCGCCCTGCTTTACCTACTATCTCTTGTCTATGAAAACAACGCCATAGAGAACACCAAAAGAGAGCTCCACGCCACGGCCATGTTCCTCATGGCCCCGGAACTCGCACGAGTCTCGCTAGCACCGGGAGCTTCTTCAACAGCTGCGGTGCTAGTGACAATGCCGGTGCCGGTGCCGGTGCTGGTCGTGGTCGTGGTGCCAACAGCAGTCTTGGTACTGACCACGGTGTTAACCGCCATAGTGGACAAAAAGGCATAAGGCTCATGATCTTTCGTGTCAAAAATAGCAAGCAAGTCCTTCCCACCGCAGAACTTGCTCTTGTCACCCGAGCAAGGGACGTTGCACTCGGTCTTGTTCCTCTTCCAGCTCTCTGGGTTCATATTAGGAATACCACTGTATCCTCCCTCGCTCTGCTTCCCCGCGTAATCCCCACACCAGCACTCATCCCCGTTGTGCATGCCTGCAAACCGCCACTGTTCGCTCTTGCACGTCTTGATGCATTTCTCGATCGTCAGGTCCGTCGTTGTCGTCACCTTCATCTCGAGACTGCCTTCCTCGAAACACGAAATGAACCCCGGGATAAGGATCAGCGGGCTGGCCGCGTTCAACCGCGAGATCGTGACGATGCAATATGACACGGGCTCGAGCCAGGGCTCGCAGTCGAGAGAGAGCGACGGGTTCCATTCGGAAAATTGTTCTGGTGTGATATCGAAGTAGTCGCGCACGGCGGCGCAGGAGCCCCGCGGGGCGCTGCCGCCCGAGCCGGTGCCCTCGATCCAGGACTCGGAGGGGGTAGACAGGCACATGGCCTTCAACTCGGTTTCGTATCTCGAGACTCACCGTTGTCAAGTTAATATTTCGGGGTCTGATTTAGACGCGATTCTCCAAGCCGAGAGGACGGGCCCGGCCCGGCCTACCAGATCCGGACCAACAATGAAATTACACGACCTGATTCGGAAGTGACGAGACCGTCGAGGTTTGGTTGGGGCTAGACGTGAATTAGTTCTGAGCGTCGGCATCGTGCAAAGGCCTAATTTTGCATTATTTTTCTTCATCCGCAAAGCGCGGTCTGATTGAGAACATTCTTAGGCGCGGTTGGTTGGCCATTCGGATCGCGCTCGAACCTAATGCCGTGAGTTATGTTGTTGCAGGAAGGGATGTTGCGAATGGAAACACTGCGGACGGTGTGGGTGAAGGTCGAGAAAATGGCATCCAGCCCTTTCGACGGATTGCGCTAACAGTCACTAGCAGAATCCCTAGAAATATAGGTGATGAACAGCCAGTGCACGTTTTTCGGTACCCTCACAGCCCTCAACAGCCGGGTGTTGTTGTTGTTGTTGTTGTTATTTTTAACGTCTACTTCCGCCTCCCGTAGGGCATGAGACGTGCCGCACCGGTGAGTCTAGCATACAAAATTAAGAGCAATGCCCCAACTGTCCACCAAAACCATTAATCCGAGGGCAAACCGAGGCCTATTGCCAGTATAAATCATGTGTTGCCCATAGCGTAAACGCGGCCCAACACTTAAAATCGAATCGCCCAGTGGGCGTCTCAACAGCCGGGTGGTATGTGCGCAGCGCATATTCCTGCCCGATTACCGTCACAAACACCGCCATGCGGATGCACGCCGTGAGCCGCATCGTTTCAAATGTGGCTTCCTTCCTTTCCGTCTTTCCTTCCTCCTTCCTTCCTTCCTTCCTCCTTCCCGCCTTCATTCCTTCATTTTCTTGTCTCTTCCAAATGACGCCATTTCCGACGCGTTGTTGGCCATTGGGTGGGTTTGGTGAAAGCAAGACTCAAGCCAGACCATCATGCAGTTACGATTCACGGCATCCATCACGATTGCCAACACCCCATTGAAGAATCCTGCGGCTCCCTCCTTCACTCGCTCTATTCCTCCTTTGCCAACAATGATATATGCGAATGAGTTCTTTTTCTTGAGGCGTTTGGTAACATATTCCCTGTGGCCTTCATACTACGACCGGTTTTCAGGATCGGCATGCTGTCGTTGAACTCACCAACCTTCATCCTCTTCATTCATAAACACCTTACAAGATCCTTTCTGTAATTCACTCAAGGCAGATATGATTTCATTTTGCGTTATACGTCTCCACGTCACTCGAAACTCCCTCCTTGGGTTCTTGCATTTCATGACGAGTTTCGGACCATATTAACAACGCTCGTGAAAGGTTAGACGTGACATCTTGAACAGTCCAATCGGGGTCTGTGGCAGGTCTTCCCAATGAATTGTTACATAGCAGAGTTGGGGAAACTGAGAGGAACTGGCTTCCAATCCCCAACGAATAGATGCGGTAGTATTCATGTTGACGCGGGTTTCACATTGGGCCTTGGTGCCGCCGGCCACTGACCGAACAGGGGATAGTATCACCGTGGGTGCGATGCTTGAGGGGCGTGCTTAATATAGACTGGCTGGTAGGCGAGAAGTGGGGTTTCAAGGCAGACAATAGGTATTCATGGGCCAGGAAACAATTTCCTTCTTTTCATGCTAATTGCTGTTGCCTTTTACTTTCAATATCGCTCCCGTCAGGAAGCTGCCGGCCTTTGCTTTGCTGTATCATCTTGTCGGAAAACTCGGTCCACGCCGTAAGTTGCGCCTTTTCCTCATGGCTGGTTGAATCTGCTGAGCTCCATACAAGTAATTGTGAGACGATTCTGGGCGTTTGCAGCACAGACCGCCAGTCCTTTGTGCTGTACACGTGTAGGTGCTTTGCCCTGCACGCTACAACCTTCCTTAGCGGTCTAGCTTCTAGAATCCCCTCCTTCGCAAACCTTCTCTCTCTCTCTTTGTATCGCTAGCTTTATATAAGTTGACGATATCTCCCAACTTCAGATAGCTGATCTATCAATATCATCATCACTCTCATCATTCCACAGTAATTAGTTCAGTCTCTGACATGGTACAGGAAACCACTCACGGGGGCTACTTCGTCTGATCGAAGTTCTTCTTCCAGCATCGAGACACTAAAATGGACATCCCTGACTTTCCGTCTTCTCAGGGGAGTGTAGAACGCCTATGCAACCAACTTTGCAAGATCTGTTCGTCAATCCCGGCGTCGTTCTGGTCCGGTAAATCCAGTAACGTACACCTTAAACTTTAGCCATTGGGCTCGATGCGGCTTGAAGCGGAAAGAGGATGCCAGCTATGCAATATTCTGCAGCTGGGACCCGGTCGAGAAGCAGATGGTCAACTAGGGGATCACGAAGTCCTCAAGATGAGGCGCCCTCCTCGTTATGACCCGTTTGGGGTGAAAAGGTTCCCTTCCGTACTTACATTTCTTAGGGATACCCACGATACTGTTCCTTTCAGAGCCGAATTCTATCCGATGCATTTCGGTTTCTCTCTAGTCCCATACCCATGGTGTAAGTCGCGTGTCTACCTTCGTCAATTTGGCCGTGATTACATCACCATCTATCCCATTTATAATAGGAAGTGGAAGGTTTCGTACCCTACTGGCGGATTTCCTTCTCTAGCCAGGTTAAAGCCCATCCAAATGGAGGAACATGTGGAAAATCTTCCACTCATAGAAGTTTGGTTGGAAAATTGTCGAGACAACCATGCTCGATGCTCTAGTAGCACCGGGGGCTTTTTTCCTACCAGACTTCTAGACCTTCAAGCATTCTCCGATTGCGACGACATCCGCCTGGTGAATGCAGAAGAACTCGATTTTGATGGGCCACCACCAAAATATGTCACATTGAGTCACTGCTGGGGTCCACCTTCAAAGCACTCGATTACTACGACAAAGGCAACCTTACGCGAACGTATGATGCGAATTCCTTTCACAGCGCTTTCTCAGACGTTCCAAGACTCTGTCAAGATATCTCGCTCCCTGAAGCAGAGATTTCTGTGGATCGATTCCCTTTGTATCATTCAGGACGATGAGGATGATTGGGCAAGTGAAGCCGCCCTGATGGCTTTGGTTTACAGCCACAGCTACTTTACACTCGCGGCTCTCAGCTCAAGGGATGATACTGAAGGCTGCAAGATGGTCACCGATGTTCAAAGTTCTTACTCTAACCGCTTTGTTGATATTGACTTCTACGATCATGGGCCAGCCAACGACACAACGTGGTCCCCTCGTCAGCGAGCTCGGATATTTGAAGCTAGCTCCTGTTGAGATTGATGAGATTCACAATTCTGTCGATGACGGGCCCCTCAACGACCGCGCCTGGACCTTACAGGAGAGGGAGCTGTCGAGAAGAGTGATTTCATTCTCCAAGAGAGGGCTTCTTTGGGAGTGTGCCGAACTCCGCGCAACTTCCCAACGGCCATGGGCACACGTCGAAAAAATGGGGAGGTGCCAGCAACGGACTGTTTAATAAGAACCAATCCTGGGAGGATATCGTGGAAGATTATTCCGCGCGGTCACTGACAAAACAAAGCGACAAGTTGATTGCGCTGTCCGGTTTGGCGCGCGCTGCGCAGGATTCCTTTCCAGGTGCCACATATGTTGGCGGGATGTGGAGCGCATCTCCGGCTCTCCTTAGAGCCCTCCGTTGGATGATTGCTCGGAAACGACGGTCAAAACCTGAGCCCCCGTATCGAACTGCGACCGAATCTGTCTATATAGCCCCCAGCTGGTCCTGGGTATCAGTCAGGCCACCGGTCATATTCGGTGCCTGTACTCCAGGGGTTGTTCGTACTCAACTCAAAATTGAGGAGATGGTGGGAATCCCCAAATATCAGGACCCATATGGTGCGCTTCAATATGGAGCCCTTGTTCTTAGCGGGGCTCAACTGTTTGAAGCTGATATCGGCGATCAGATTACAGGCTCACATGGCCCCACAGATAAACAAATGATGATGAAGGATGGTGTTTCAATCGGGGAAGTCACCCTCGATTCACCCGATGTTTCTCATATCCTTAACCCCACCAAAGTCTCTTTTCTATGGACTGATACCGTCGTCGATTCTCACGGTCTTGTTCTCAGAGAGGGAACGAACCCCGACGATGAGTATACTCGAGTGGGGTTGGAATGATATACAAGCGGTTCACGGACATACTGTCTGACTCCAAGCCACGCACCATTAAACTGATATAGGCAGACCTCATCAAAGGTACGTGAGAATAACAGCATACATACTACCCATTAGATGTCCAGCCCACCTTCACAATCCCGGTTGGCCTGCGAAATGAACTAACGATTTTCCTACGTAGTAACAGATCCAACAGTTCGTCAACCGGAATCCAGACAACTCCTATCCTACGGGTGTCTTAGAACGCAAGAGTGTGAGCCTCAACAAATACGTAGAGGTAGCATTTGGAGTGTCGTATCATCTGATAACTTCGTTCAGTCTGACAAGTGTGAATTGTTTCTTTTGCTTTCCTTTTTCTTTCCTTTTTCTTTCCTTTTTCTTTCCTTTTTCTACGTTGTATCAATGGGGATCATATGTACTGTCTGATAGAAAAGGAAAGTCATCTTTAGGGGACCGTGGCATGTATCACGTCAACTGTGTGCCGACACGACGAGTAGGGAACTTTGGACTTTAGGCTTGCCGAAAGCATGTCGATCAATTCGGTACCGGGTCCGGGGACTCGGGGAGACAAACCCAGACAGGAACGTGGCACGGGTAAGGCTGATGGAACAGCGGTGAGCCTTGTTCGTCGGATGGAGCGGGGAGCGGGGAAGATGACGGATTGCAAGGGGATCCATGATGCTCAAGCACAGTTGTCCAAAAGTCAATAAGGTAGGTACCTAGATGATGATAAGAGCTCATATCCAAATCACAATTTACGTAAGAAACTAGCCATATATGTACCTTCCCCATGGTTTGTCTCATCAATTTACCCTTCCCCATGAGAATTCACGTTCGCAACACCCAGCGGTGTTGGCATTGCTTTCCATTGGTGATCCACCTCAAGCATCCAGCGGCTTCTGCGCCTTGACAATACGCCATCTAATGTTAGCGTGGATCATGCCTTCTTTGTACTCGCGACGGGCAGTGGCGGCGTAGTTCGCAATGTCCTTGGCCTCCCACCCCAAATAAGTAGGCATCAAGTACGACAGGAAGCCCTCGATGTCATGGGTCATCGCCGCGAGGTTGTAAAGACCCAGCTGCTTCATCTTAGGGTCTTCGGCCCAGGGCGAGAGGGGAATCTAGATCTCGGGGTCAGTCTCTAGGTATCTGAGAATCGCGCGGGCTGGGAAAGACTTACGACAAGATCCTCGCACTCGATATTGGTGAACCCAGCCTCCTCCAATCCCCTTTCCATGATGCCCGAGGAAGGCAGGTCAAATTCGGTCCCGATATGCCCCCCAACTGCCTTCCAGATTGGACCCCACTGGCCAAAAGCGGAATCGTCAGGCATAGTTCCATCATGGCAATGGATCCTAGCATCAGCGTCGACGTGTTCAATCCAGCCACCGGGCTTCGTACACTTGAAGGCCTCCTTATACAAGGCAGGCCAATCCCGGATAGTGCCGGTAAGCCAGCGAATGTGAACGTAGTCGAAAAAGTTCTCTTGGAAGGTCCATTCCTTAGATGCGTCGTCGACTTCGAAGCGGACGTTGGGAGGCACCCAACTAGGTTGAGAAGGAGAAATATCAGTGCCAATTACGTTGCATCTGGGAAATTCATCCCCGAAGTCACTGTAAGAGAAAGGAGAGGCTGTTAGCAATGGGAAGATCCACTCGGAGTTCGACGTTGATATCTTACATGGCCCAGACTCCTGGAGGTAGAGATATGGTCAGTACAGTTGAGTAAAAGGAGGGCCACGGTCCAAGTAGATTAGCTTACCGCTGCCAGTACCGACATCGAGAGCTGTCTTGATATCCTCCTTGAGCGGGGCCGTGTATAGCTTCCCATCAAGGGCCATAGTCATGGTATGGTGGAAGATGTCCAACAACTCGTTTGCCTTCGCATCGTTAGGACCCCTGAGTGGTGTATCAATACAAGTGGTTAGTTCAGCTCTGAAGTGACAAAGGGCACAGCACAAGGCTGTCTTGCTGATGCTTTCCGATGCAGACATACCAGTACTCTCCATCGGTCACTGAATCGCTGTGGAACGTTCGTCCATGAAGTGTGCGGTACTGCAAAATGCTGGAAGAGATCGAGGCGGTCGAGCTTTCAACATCGCTGCCCAGGGTGGAATCATTGTCATCATCCACATCCTGTAGGTGTAGAATGTTTCATGTTAGCATCCGTAATTTCCAAACCGATGGAGGGGGAAAGGCGTGGCGATGGATATTTCATTGCGCGATAGCTGACGGGCTGGGAGAGATGTGTCGTCCGATGAAGTCCGAGATAACCGTGCATGTAGGACAGTGGACTTGCGTTTGTCAGACGCACGTGCTACCACTGCCTAACATGTCGGATATTGATCTCCCGCATGAAAACGTTGAAACGGAAAATAAAATTGAGCTGAAACGAACCTGCTCGCCCCAATGGGAACCGGACAAAAGGCCAACGGGCTCTGAAGAGTCATCGGCCGCTGGAGACACGGGAGCAGGCGTGGGCGACTTCTTTCCCACTGGGGACGCGGGTCCAGGAGTGGGTGACTTGCCCTTTCCCTTTCCCTTTGGCGACTGTGCCTCGGGTGTTGGCGACTGAGCTTGTTTTGCCGGAGAACTCATTGTTGATGGGTGGATATCTTGAAGGTTTGAAAGACGAGTCTGCAGACAGGAATTGGTCCTTTCGCGTGCCAGCGGTCTATAAGTATTTCGGGTCCGCTACCCCGCCTCTCGAGCGGTCAAGGTTGAAGGCCACCCTCTTTCCTGTCGAACTGTGTTCTTGGGTTACACTCGTGATTGCCCCTTTTCGGTACGTTTTGACTAACAGCAAATTTCCAGCCATGCTGCAGTAGCGGAGTATCGGAGCTAGTAATGTCGTGTTACCACAACTGTGGGGTTCCACTGCAGAAGGCATGCCATTGGCTACATCCATGTCAACTACCGAGGCCTCTCGAAACGCTCCCACGGACGTTTCAAGACTCTGTAAGAACAAGTCGCTCCCTGAGGCAGAGATTTCTGTGGATCGATTCCCTTTGTATCATCCAGGATGATGAAGGAGACTGGGCCAAGGAAGCCGCCTTGATGGCTTCTGTTTATAGCCATTCGTACTTTACCCTTGCAGCTCTTGACTCCAAAGACAGCTCTGCAGGTTGTAATATGGTTGCGGATATTCAGACTTCTACGGACTGGGAAAAGACGAATCGAGTTTCCATCATCAACGACTTCGGTTCTTTGAATTCCCCTTCTTTGACGACGGATCCATCGAAGCCGAGCACCTTAACAGCCGCGCGTGGACCTTACAGGAGAGAGAGCTTTCGAGAAGAGTTATCTCATTTTCCAGCCAAGGGCTATTTTGGGAGTGTGGCGAGCTCCGCACACCTTCCCAACGGCCATGGGAAAATATCGACAGATATATCACACTGTTGTCTGCAGAGACGGCGTTCACAAAGGGACTGTTTAAGAGCAACACATCCTGGGACGATATCGTGGAGGATTATTGTGCTCGATCATTGACAAAGCAAACCGACAAGTTGATTGCGCTATCTGGAATAGCACAAGCTACCCAGGAGTTCTATCAAGGCGCCACCTATGTTGGCGGTTTATGGAGCTCGCTTATTCCCAAAGTCCTCCTTTGGAAGACTGTACCGCAACGGTCAGACGCTAAGCCCGCGTCTGAAACTGCTACTGAGTCTGCCTATATAGCCCCGAGCTGGTCGTGGGCATCAGTCAGATCACCGGTGGACTTCAGTTTGGTCCGGGCATCAGTCAAATTAGCGGTGGATCTCACTTTCTCCTCTGGAGGGACGATTGCTCAACATCTCAAGGTCGAGAAGATGGTAGGAATCCCCCAAGTACCAGGACCTATATGGTGCGCTTGAATATGGGGCCCTTGTTCTTAGCGGTGCTCTGCTGGTTAAGGTTGACGTTGACGATCAGACTATACAAGCAGGCCCATTTGGTGACCTGGTTGTTGGCCTGAAAAGGGACGGCGTTGTAGTTGGGAGTATCTACCTCGATGCACCGGATGTCTTCCAGTTGCTGAGCAAGCGTAGACACTATTTTCTACGGCTCGTAACCTGTTTCCATGTTTACGGTCTTCTGCTCAGAGAGGGAACGGGCCCCGAAGATGGCTATACTCGAGTAGGGATTGGAATGCTCCATCATAGGCGGTCACTGGAACTAATTGCCAGGTGTAAGCCGCGAACTATCAAACTAGTATAAGCAAGTTTCACCGAAGGTATGTGGAAGCAACAGCATATGCTGCCCTTTTCCTAACAAGACCTTTTTTTCTAATCGGCGAGAGGCTGCCCCTAACTGCAGATGGTACTTGGATTAACTAACGTTTCCCCTAGTCCTAACTTCAACAACGCCAAAACGGGTTTCATTCCTCTCATTACCTCTACTTCTTTTATTTCTCTTTTTACTTTCCTACTCCTTTCATTCGGCCCCATGGTCATTCATAGTGCCCAATGCTCGTGTGGGCCGTTTACATCCCGCGAAATTCGATTCCCATTGGCATCGTGCTCTAGATTCTACGTCAATTCGTCCTGGATGGAGTTGGGTAAGAAAAGGTTAGATGGCTCTATCGGATTCGAGATGATTGTTTCATGAATAAGATGCACGCTTATCTTGAGTACCGCTAATCCTCCTCGTTGACTTTTAGCGTGGTAACAATTTCGGCCGAGGAGTCAAGGTCCCTTCGGTCCTGTCCGAAAAGCTTCCCAGTCTTGACCCTGGCCCTCTCAACTGCCCTTGGAGCCAACGCATCGCCCAGCCTATCTCTCCTCCCGCGAAGCAACAACAAGCTCGACACCGGCAAACAACACGAAGAATGCCCCCCCCCC